AATAAAGTTCTGGTTCGCCGTTAACAAATTTTCATTCGCGATGCTCAAGGTTTGAACCTTTAACTCATCTTACCTCATTTCAAACTTCTCTCAAAGTTCATCCTAAAAGACTGATTGTTAGTGTCTTTGAAATGTCCTTGAAATAGGAACTGATAATGTCCTTGAAATAATCAATTACGTAAAGCATTTTCAAATTCTGAGAGCAGATCGAAGTTGAGAAGTAATCTCATGCCGATCAACTCCAGAACAGTCACGAGATTATGCAAGAAATGCCAAAAAATTGAATAATGTGGCGAAAAGATTAAAAGATTCGATGACTGCTGTAAATGTTCTGACCATTCAGGAGATAGTTGTAACGATAGCGATGGTTTCGACGACGTTTGGATGTTTCGGCGGCAAACAGCAAACGTGCTGCCACCGATCACGCCGACAAGAATGTGTGCAAATTCCCGTATGCATACAGCAGCAACAAGCCGGGTTCATTTCATACATTCATTCTCTGTGCATGCATAGATTTGAGTATATCTTCAAAAGATGCCAATTAAAGNTTTTTTTTAGTTGCGGTCAGTACAATTCATACCAGCAACCTTATGTCATTGGCGGCTATGAACAAGGTGGTGGTAATGGCTGTCAGCAATATGCTGTTCCACCACACATTGCGCCCGCTCTACCGATTGATACCTCTCCGTTCGTGGGTAACTCTCAGTTCGAACTGCAGTCGAACACTCAGCTCAGTCAACCTGGTTTCAGTCCCAGTTCATTGGGTCAGTTGGTTGCTCCGGTACCATTTCCATCAAATCTGGATAATTTTGAAAGCATTGAAAGTTTACCGGCACCACTCAGCAGTCAAATCGACACCAACATGTTGTCTTCGAATGCGAACAATCCTTCTATGATGTATTCGAATGAAGAATCCACTCAGATTGGAGCTGAAGGAGGTGTAGTATCCCCGTTGCAGCCATTTCGCGATTCACACATTGATCTGCAGTTAAGGCACAGTCCATACGATTCGAATTCGATCGTAAATCATGGAGCAAACGGCGCTTCACGAGAAACCTTCAAATCATTTTTGTCGCCATCTGATCGCAATGCGATTCAACGGTTCATATCAAAAGATCAACCTTCATCTCAGCGTTACGGTCTTGATTCGGAAAATTCGCAGAGCACAGCGG